CAGCCAGCTTCTCTTCAAGTTCTGCAAGAACGCATAACTGTAGAATGTCAAAGGATAACTGCCGATATGTTGCAGAATGTTAGAGAAGAGATAGAGAATCGATTTTATTATTGCATGGATGTTAATGGCGGACATTTTGAACAGTTTGTTAGATAAAGTTCACGTGTAGACCTAATTAATAAATTAGTAAGTATTTTTATTTATTTTTATTTTGACAAGCTGTCATTTCGTTACGGATAAAAATAATGAGGCGAAATTGTAGGGTCATAAAGAACTCGATGAGACCTTTAAAAAGAGGTATGGCACGACCCCTATCAACTATTCAAATTTGGGGGGTTGTTCTCTCCTCAGCTAGGGGGTTATAGCTACGGGGATGAAAAAAACTGAAAAATAGTTTCCCCTCAAATCAAAAGTCGACTTGTCCGAGCGTTTTCCCATATTTTTATTTTAAACTAAAAAAATCGGGGTGGAAAGTTTCCATTGGCCCACCCTGTATAAAGTAAGTGTTAAGGACACCAATGATTATTTTTTAAAATAATATGTAACACGGCGGATCCAATATTTCGTATAAAATTTGAAAATATCCCATAAAATGACCAATTTTGCTATGTTTGTAGTAAATCGTCACTCTTCATTGCTGAACTATATTTGCTGGTGCATAAAAATTTAATGAAAATTTGAAAATAATTAAATATGGCCGACTCAAGACGGTGCCTTAAACTAAGTTAACCTCTTTAATTTACTTATTCAAATTCAAATTTATAGCAAGTGAAAGTGAAAACATTCCATGTACCCTTTTTTCAATAAATCAACAAATTCAACATGGTGATAACCAGTATGATTCCCAGAAGGAGGTAAGAAAGAGGTTACATGGTTAAAATAATGACAGTTTGGGATTAATATGAGCGCGGCGTAACAGCAATGTGTTTTTCACAAATTTAAATGCATTGAAAATTATAAACTCCCATCTTTCATATCACATTTTTCATGTAAGCTCAGATGGATGATATAATTATAATAATGCGTCATCTAAAATTGTACGTATCAAGTTTGGGTTTGGCTATATCTCCACATATGGGTACTAATTTCTTAATAGCTTCAGGATTAATCTTCTTTAAAGTATCGAACAACTAGAAAATAACAAACATCGAACAATACCAATAAATTCAGTCATGATCGGTAAGGATTATCTTACAAAAAAGTAGGCCAATGTTGTGATTGGTGCATACAAATGTACTGTACATTGTTTCAACCCTGGATAGCGGTATATCGTTTATTTTATATTCCTATAATACAGGGTTCTTTTTCTTGGAATACGTTATAGTAAGACATTTTTTATATCAATATGTAACAAATTATCACATGTCCATTAATATATTTTATTTAAGTTGTTTTGAAGTAATATTATATTGAATTAAAAATATCTGAGGCTCAAGATTAGAACCCTGAGGGACGCCGGAAAAAATAATGGAATGATTGGATTTTGCAAATAATGTTATACAGGTTGTGGCGTGTATAATCTATAAAAATTAAACTACAGCTTGCTAACGATATTTGTAATAGAGAAGTTTTATACGAAAAAGTTCTATTTTTGCGTTTTGTTTTCGTAAATTAAAGTTTAATTATGGATCAAAATATTTTCTCTGGAACGCTCCTGTCCGTGTTTAGGGGAACTTTTCAATGCGAAAGTACAAATCAAGAAAAATAGATGTTTAAATAAAACTGATATTTTTTTATTATAATAATAAATTAATAGCAATTACTATCTTAAATGCATTGTTGTTACTGCAAGAGTTCGCAAACAAAACCACATCCGTAAGCATCTGTAGTTGCCAACTACGTGCACTAAACAAACTCCATTAAGATATGG